ACCTGAGACTGACCCACCTGAGCCCCACCTGAGACTGACCCACCTGAGCCCCACCTGAGACTGACCCACCTGAGCCCCACCTGAGACTGACCCACCTGAGCCCGGTGCTAGTCAGAAGATGGGAAGTGAAACTCCTTCAACCCATTAAGTCCATAAAACCCCTGAAGGAGACAGGACCACTAAAACTCGGTGGTCTTAAAGTAAATTCAGAAAAAGTAATAAAACTAAACATCTGGAACTTTCTCAGTTTGAAGTCTGGAGTTTTAACCTGCAGGTTGTAAAAGGTTATATAAAGTTGAATAAGGTTATTTAAAGTTATTTAAGGTTATATAAGGTTATAAAGAAGCTCCAGCTGCACAGTAGAAGGTTAGAATGAGGAACGAAGGTCATCCTACCTCTCACTGACAGGTGAAGTTTGATCTCCAGGTGAGACCTGGTTACACAACAGATCCTGGACTGAGAGGAGCTCCTACAGGTTAAACAAACATCTTCAACACAACTCCTCTTGTTTGGTTTTAACTTGTTTTTAAATATATATTATTTATCACTGGTAACATTCTGTGTTATAAAAAAGTCACTGATGATGAAGAAATAAATAAACTTATATTTGGTTTCGTTTTCTACTGAAGTGACACAAAAAGAAAAAACATCTGTCACGTGACTCAGCAGCGAGTTCTCACCTGTCAGAGGCCTCAGTCAGCAGCAGGAAGAAATCTGAGATTTCAACATGAATTTCTTCTGACAGACAGTTGTTTTTGTCCTCCAGCAGTTTAAAGTCAGCTGTTCTTCACCGCAGCTGCTTCCGCTTCCGCTTCCTCCTTCTGTGGGCGGGGCTTTAGGTTTTCAGGTATTTCAGCTCCATCTAGTGTCCTTAAAAAATATAGAGTTTAAATTCAAACTTCTGAGCACAAATGTTTTAAATCAAATAAACTTTTTTAAAAGAAATGTAAACAAGTTTTATTTTTTTATTTCAGGACTGATTTTACACAGATGTGTATTTTTGTCTGGTTTCTGTTTCTGATCCTAAAACAGGTTCCTGGGCCTCATTTCATCCAGCAGCTGAACAAAGCCTGGATTAACAGATCCTCTGAACCTTCACAGAACAAGGTTCCACTTCCTGTCTGCAGCTGGAACCTGTTTACTGACAGAAGTGTAACACTGCACATGGCCACAGGGGGGCGACACAACCACAACACGCTCCTTCCTGCAGGACTGATGGTGCAGATAACAACACAACAACAACACAACCACAACCACAACACGCTCCTTCCTGCAGGACTGATGGT